TAAACCAGGGCTCCTCAATCTCTAGCATTGCATTATGGGATATTATTGTTCTTGTTGTTTAAACAAATAATCCATTGTTTCTCATTGTCTTCTTAGTTTATTTAAGACAATAAACAAAATTAATCCAATAAACAATCCTGCGCTTTAATCTAGCGTGGGATGTACTTACTTGTAAGGCTTCCTCCAGTTATTGGTCCTAGAAAACCCATTATGATTATAGCTACCGGAATGAATCTACCAATTTTGTGTTTGCGAAGGCAGAAGAACGCAATAACCGATGCGATAGCATGTACCATAACACAGGAAAATAAAAACCATAAAAAGACGTGATACCACATTTCTGCAAGAACAATAAATTTAAAGCTGAATGAGTTAACACTTAGTTGGCTGCCATTGAAACCGGATTCCCTTAACTGTTACTATACATTTTTATTTTATGCTTTTGCTCACAAAATACAGAAAAAAATCTAGCGAAATACTTTTTGCACAAAAACTTTTCAAATACCCATGAAAATGTCAGTTCCTTTGGTAAAAATTTTGTTTGGGGGTATATAGTGAAAAAATGATATGTAGTTATAGGATTAGTCTTCATGATTGTCTTGAATTATTGGGACATTCTGGTGAATACTATTTATTCTGTTATGAAATAGTGCCCATTTTTGCATGTTTTCATACTGGTCCCTCCCCCCCCCCCCAATATTTTGTACTGAGTAAAAAAAATTGATGACTGATGTTTAAGTCAAATATACATGATCATTTTTTTACCTTTTTTTAAGTTAAGATACCGTGAGTAACCTTAATACAGTAAGATATTGGACTTTTGTTTTTTTTCTTCTGAGTACAAATTTAAACTTAATGGTATTGGTAAAGGTTACAAAGAGATTATACATGTATGTTTAATATCATCAAGAAAATACTATTTAGTGAACAACAAACAATCGTTTTCAAAACGTTTCCCTTATTAATCATTATTCAATTATGTAAAGGCTATTTATAGACAAATACTATTTTTAGACCCAAGCTGTTAAAACATTTAAATAGCCGCGTGAGGGCGTCACATCCCAAAATTACAAACTGATCAAATTTCTTTCTGGTTCAGTTCAGTTTGGGGGACGCTGTTTTGCAACGATCGATTATACATGATCATAACTTATTTGTAGCTAATTCTACAACAAATCTAGATGTACGCCGAAGGCGATATTGAATTCGAACAAATACATTCACGAAAAAACCGCGAGACTGATTACTTACCAGCAAACCCATGAAGAGGATCACTTGAAAGTCCTATCACACTAGGAAATGAGTCCAATCTCGTTGTAAAATCTTGATTAGCCATTCGTAATATCGAATACTTCCGTTTGCGGATAGTTAATTGAAATACCTGACGAATTATAAAATACTAGTAGTAGTTGCGACCCATGTTTACATCATCCGCCATTTTTCTTACGTGTGTTTGTTCGTTGTTACTTTACTGTAACAGAAGTCGTGGGTTGTTGGGGTCTGCGTCGTTCGTAGTAATTATCGGATTTTTGTTACATTTTAACAAAAAATGTCGGATTCTGATGATGATTACAGCTCATCGGATGATGCAGATTACATCCCCTCTGGTAAGTGGCAATACTAACTTGGAAATGTTTGATAAACACGTTCTATACATTTGACATAAAGTTGACATAATAATAGACACATGGGCTGAGGTGGCGCACTTCATGAAAATACGTATTCCCCTCCAAGAAAGATGATTTATAATACTAGTAGTTTGTAGATGGTACGGAAATTACAGTCACTGATTTTTTTTCAAAATTCAATTTATATTTGGTGATTTATTTTATGCTTTTGGTAAAACAATGTAATGTTAAAGGGGCTTTTCTGCTGGCATCTTTTCCTTTCAAGGATACATCATGGGAATGCCGAAATCCAAAACAGCCATGTTTGTTTTTATTATTAGAGGACACTTACACGCGTAATCATTCCATATTCGGAATTCGCATTTCACAACATAATTTCAAAAAAATTGTTTATGTAAAATAAAAGCTGTTTACAAAGATTCAATCGCAGGACATTCATGTGTCATATAATGAAAACTAAACAACAAAATGTGAGTAATGATATTCTTACAAAAATTTGTAATGTACAAAATTTGATGCAGGATAAAGTAGAATGACCAATCATGTCTTTTGCCCATGGGTTTCTCCACAGTTTTTTGAGGGTGTGAAAGCCCTATATAACTTCCACATTTAAGGTAGCGAGAAGGGAAATTTTAACTTTTTTCTTGATTTTTCAAAAATTGATAAAACGGTTACTTTAGACCTTGATACATCATCCCAGGTTTACAAAAGATCGAAATTTCAAAATAACTTAAATTAGTGTTTTAAGACGCTAGCAGAAAAGACTACAACTGCCGTTTCATGGAAATTTGCATAATGTTTATCTTTGGAAGGGATTAAATGATAACATCTTATCTGTATACTTTGTTGTTGACGATTCTGATATAACGGGTGATAAGCTTTCCATCGCAAACAGTGCGTGTTTATCTAACGTCCATTATCAGCATTATTGTCAGTCGAGAATTCGTTGGAGAAACATGGTCATACAGTCCGGGCATACAGTACTCATTTCGCCCAACCTTCCGCTTTTACATCGACCGCTTATCGCTTAATTACCGACTGCATTTTAATCACGCTTTTTTTTCACTCGCTCGCTCATTGAAACAACGACGGTCAGCTCACCCAAACACTGATCACTGGCACATGAGTGGTCGAAATGGTGGTTTTGATAGTAAAGTGTGAACATACAACTAGTATTAACTGTTATTTAATTCTGAACGACACTTCAAATCTAATAGTTGTATGACACTTGTATCGTGAAAGCAACTGAACTGGAACCTCTTGTTACGTGTTTTGGGTGCTTGTTCTAGATGTAATATTTTTTATTATTTTAATGAGACACTTAGGTGAAAAAAGCATAGGTAACTCATTTTGACAAAGTAGAGAAACGAGGAAATGTTAATGATTAATTCCAAAAATAACGATACCAAATCCATGTCGGCCGGTCTGGTAAAATTTGACATTCAATTTTCAAAAATAAGTCCTGATCATTGAATGAGTTCAGTCCATACCGTGTACGTACGTATACCGTAAAGTGTTCCCACAAAAAAATATTTTCGACTAAAAACGGCCACATGCCCTGACAAAATCGAACAGAACATGTATGAATAATTTATTGGGCTTTAAAAAAAACGTGTCAAATTTAGTTATAGCCATAAATATTTGGTGGCCAGTCGATGAAAAATTCGAAACTCAGGATTCACATGGAAGTCCTTCAGGGCTGAAAATCATCGACCCTACTCTGGTTTACTTTATTTCCCAACTTACAGAGAAAACCGATTCGCCGTGGACTCTAATGTATCTAAGCCTTGTATTTTCTTTTTGAACTGAGGTCAAATTCCACCCGTTTGTCAAAATATATCAATGTTTTTCAGCGAATAATTTTGAAGCCTCCCACAGCACAAAAACACGCGTAAATTGGATGATGGTACGACGACCCTTCAATTAGCATCAAATATGCTTTATTACAACATCATTGAGTGGCTGCAGGTCACATGATCGGAGCACGACCTGGGTCACTGAACCATATTTGTCCGTATTATCAACAGGACCTCGCAAAAGAACCACACCCACATTTTCAATCTTTTTTAGTGCGGAAGTTGCCAACAAATGTCAAAAAACTCATGAATTTCATGGATTCAAATAAAATAAAGCAAGCGATTGATAAGAATGATTTAATATTTTCCCCGATACTCTTCGTCAAATTTTTATTATTTTTTTTATTTCAATGTAAGAAATGGCTGGTTGAAGTTGCATCTGATCGTCTTCAATGCGGCTGTTTCACCGCAAACAACTCTAGCTCTGTTGTAGTTTTGCGATGTAAAATAAAATATATATTATAATAATTATTGGGACACGATCGACAGACATTCCAAACAATCGAAATTATCAACGAAAGACGAGATTTTTCTAGATATTTACAGACATACTGTCATGAAAAACAAATTAACAAATACACAAAGAGGTGTAATATTAGGTTTTATTTTAGGCTTAGAAATATTTCCTTTCACTCAGCCCATGCATGCAACTGCCATTTAGCTTCATGGTCCTTCAGCTTGTCTTTGCCTCGGGGGGGGGGGGGGGACAACAATAATTATACAAAACACATCGCGAAGACTCGACAATCAGGAAAGAAAAACCCAGAAAACCATGTCGCACTTGTGTTGAAATACATTTTGTATTTCACGTCAGAATATTGTTTAAAATAAAATATTCAGTCCAAGCCAAATCGAGGTCAAAGGGTCAGATTGCTTGCATATAATTATAGATAGTTTTTGATATTTTGAGGTTTGCGCGATCGAAAATAAAGCGGAAATTGTCTGGTCGAATTCAACAAGCGGTTGCAAAAGCGAGAGAAAAAGGTGATTGGAAAGCCGAAGCGGGCGGGTAGTTGTGAGAAATAAGTACTGTAACTTTGCGCAACTGTCTTTTAAATCGTTTTATTTTCCAAGTCAATATTCTATTTAACTAATACCTATTTTTCTATCGCAATGGCGAAGGAAAGAAAAAGCGTTGACAGACAAGGCAAAGAAAAATCTGCAACTCAGTGTCGCACTCTGAAACAGCAATGTTTTTTCAAACATCAGCCATTTTGTTTCACCATGAAAACCGTTTTATTAGATCTCCTATCAGAGACACTTGAAGGTTTAGCTTGTTTGTAAATTGTCAGCGTGTACAGTGAGACAGATGATTATCCCTCGTTGTTCGTTTGCATAACAATGGAAACCCGAACTTTCCTGGAGTACGGACTCAAATGCCAGCAGTTTTCTTCATTTTTCACGCTCAAGCTTGAAATTATTCATTATCTGACACTCTTTATGAGTTCTATGATATCAGTGGTTAATATGTTTGGCTATTTTTAGTGTATATTTATAGTAATACAGCAAATCTACAGTGTTTTATTAACCAAACCTGGTTTTCGCGTTTTTCTCAAGTTGAAGTTTTGACTGAGTACGACTCATTGGGACCGCCGCCAAATCAAGTGCGTTCGGACTAGGACATTCAAACTCGCAGTTATCGTTCAAAAGATAATGATGGTGCGAAATATGTCTGGGTTTTTAAAGAAAATGCTTTGTCATGGAATAATAGTCTGTTGGGGACAAAAAAACAAACCTGCATAGAAATTGGAATAATAGGTCTTTTGATTACCGGGGACACATTTCAATGGACTTGATTACGGGCAATGCATGACGTAAATTTCACCAGGAAATTCCGCAGTGTGCTCTCGCAATCGCGGACTTAGTCATTTTTACAATGTTCGCCATTTTTGATGTCACGTGATCATTATGTAAACAATGACTGTCCAGTTTATGCGAACTTGTATCTCTATACTTAGTCTTTTGAAATATATAAGCTAAATTACTGTTCTGAACGAGACAACAGGCAGAGAATGTTTTATTCGAAAATGTTACAAAACCCTTCTCGCTACCTTAAGATGTAATTGATTCCACTCATGGTATGTTAAACTCTCCTAAAGTAAAGGATCCAGGGAAAGTCAGATACTTTTCATTTGGTCTGATATGAAACATAAAAAGGTGAGCTTAACGTTTTTTTACTAACGTGTGTACAATTTGATAAACACATTACTAAAAAAACGATCATTAATTAATTTAGATGGAGATTTGAGTGAAGATGATAATGATGAAGGAATACCAGAGGACGATGACACAAGTAAGAGTGGAAAGAAAACAAAACACAGCAAAAAGAAGAATGATACCATGAGGTGAGTGTTGAAAATGAGTCATTTGATCAATTTATTTGCAAAATATAGAAAACATTATGCAGAATTATTTTGTGAAAGCTGATTAATAGTGGATGAGTATTCAATTATTACATGCGCCACTGTCTTAATTACACTGTCTTAATAATTACATACATGTATATGTCTCATTTGTGTTTCATACCAAAAGATGGTTCCAAATATGACTAAACAGACCCACTCTTATCAAACAATCTAAGTGGTCTTGCAAACAAGGAAGTGTAGGTGTGAACAGCTGCATATGGACTATCAAAACATACATGAATAATCTGTAAACTCTCACTTACACGTATAACTTGTAGAGAACTTTTCAAAATCAGTTGAGAAATGAATCTAACAACCTATGTGGTAATTCCATACAATGATAAATACGCTTATAATAAACTATTTTCAAGATCTCGCATTATGTTTGAAATCAAATTTCATAGCCTCGTAGTAACATCAAAAACATTGCGTGAGATTTGACAAATGCGTACATATTTTTTGGATATTTCCACGCTCAATAATGTGATATACACATTTGATGATGGTCAGTTTTGATGAAGTAAGGGCATCTTTTCTGGACTCATGATCGGCAGCTCAAATCCTAATTCAGGTTGAACACCAAAAAGGATCATCCCCTACCCTGGGTGAGTGTGCCACAGACTCAATGGCCAATTCCACTGGCCGAGATTCATTCACAAATCATCTTGAAAAGCAATTATTTGAAATTTGTCTACCCTGATGTCTTGTACATTATTTCAGTGAAATTGATATACTGCATAAAAAAGTCAGTAAGAAGACAAAATATTCATTCCAGAAAACCTTTACAATTTGTCTATTTTTGTTTCAATAGAAAAAGAAAAGGTGGAATTAAACTTGAAAATGAGGATGATGAAGAGCTAGCAAAAGAACATGAAGAAGAAGAGAAACGGAAACAAGAATTGTCAGAGGAGATGAAAAAGGAACTTGAAAAAAAGAAAGAGGAAGAAGAAAAAAAAAGAGTAGACAGTTTATGGTCTAGTTTCCTGCAGGATGTAACTCCTCCTGTTAAAGCCAAACCTAAAACTAGTGCCATCACATCATCTGTTAAACAGGTAAAAATATTTAACTTATTTGGAAATATGATTTAATTGTTTAATTATTTATTTTTTGAAATGAAACTCATTGATTTAGTTATTTTCATTAATTAGAAATGTGACTTGAGATATTAGTCCCCGTTCGAACGAAGTTCAAAAACGAGGACTTATGTTTCGCGTGTCCGTCCGGAGTCATATTTCAGAATCCTGTGGACTGATTCCGCTCATTCTTTGCATGTGCCTAGTACTTTATGTGGGACATATGCACATACAGTGGTTTAGCGATTCAATTCAAAATGGCCGACTGGCAGCCATCTTGTTTTTTTTAAATGTCATATTTTGGACATGCTTTGTCAGTTTTCATTCAAATTTGGTACATGTACATAGATTATACATGTTAGGATACATGTCCTCTGACAGTCTGTCCGTCTGTTTGTCCGGAGTCATATTTCAGAATCCTTTTGACCGATTCCATTCATTCTTTGCATGTGCCTAGTACTTTATGTGGGACATATGCACATGCTGTAGCTTAGCAATTTGATTCAAAATGACCGACTGGTGCGTCCATGTGTCTGAAAAATGTGTTTCACAACTTGTCTCTTATTTAGTTTTATGCCACATTCAAGATGGCGGCCACCATATAGTAAATATAGCATTTATTTTATTATCACGTGTGCGCCAGCTGACTGTGCTTTAATCAGCCATGTTGCAATCCCACCTGAGTTTGACACTAAACCACTAGCCTAGTATAATATCACTCAATAGTTTAATTGTATTTTTGTCAATATTTTTTATTAAATAAATACATTTCTGAAGGTTAGTGTTTCTAATAGTGAAATAGTGGAAAGAAACTCTGTACTAAGACCTTGTTACCAACAATGACTAATTTAGCAAACATTACATTTTTCTCTAGGATTCAGTTGGTAGTTCATCTGAAAGTGAAAAGAAAAAAATTGAAAGCAAAGTTGAAAAAGTAAAGGTTACAAAAGTGTTTGATTTTGCGGGAGAGGAAGTAAAGTAAGAGATCATTTACTATTGTGTGTTCTGTCTATGATGTGCTCTGTCTATGATGTGCTCTGCCTGTGGTGTGCACTGTCTATGATGTGCTCTGCCTGTGATGTGCACTGTCTATGATGTGCTCTGCCTGTGGTGTGCACTGTCTATGATGTGCTCTGCCTGTGGTGTGCACTGTCTATGATGTGCTCTGCCTGTGGTGTGCTCTGTCTATGATGTGCTCTGTCTATGATGTGTTAGATGTCTGTGGTGTGCTCTGTCTATGATGTGCTCTGTCTATGATGTGCTCTGTCTATGATGTGCTCTGTCTATGATGTGCTCTGCCTATGATGTGCTCTGTCTATGATGTGCTCTGTCTATGATGTGCTCTGTCTATGGTGTGCTCTGTCTATGATGTGCTCTGCCTATGGTGTGCTCTGTCTATGATGTGCTCTGTCTATGATGTGCTGTTTATGATGTGCTCTTCTATGATGTGCTCTCTCTGTGATGTGCTCTGTCTATGATGTGCTCTGTCTATGGTGTGCTCTGTCTATGATGTGCTCTGTCTATGATGTGCTCTGTCTATGATGTGCTAGAAGTCTGTGGTGTGCTCTGTCTATGATGTGCTCTGTCTATGATGTGCTAGATGTCTGTGGTGTGCTAGATGTCTGTGGTGTGCTCTGTCTATGATGTGCTAGATGTCTGTGGTGTGCTCTGTCTGTGGTGTGCTCTGTCTATGATGTGCTCTGTATATGATGTGCTAGATGTCTGTGGTGTGCTCTGTCTATGATGTGCTCTGTCTATGATGTGCTCTGTCTATGATGTGCTCTGTCTATGATGTGCTCTGTCTATGATGTGCTCTGTCTATGATGTGCTAGATGTCTGTGGTGTGCTCTGTCTATGATGTGCTCTGTCTATGATGTGCTAGATGTCTGTGGTGTGCTCTGTCTATGATGTGCTCTGTCTATGATGTGCTAGATGTCTGGTGTGCTCTGTCTATGATGTGCTCTGTCTATGATGTGCTAGATGTCTGTGGTGTGCTCTGTCTATGATGTGCTCTGTCTATGATGTGCTCTGTCTATGATGTGCTCTGTCTGTGATGTGCTCTGTCTGTGATGTGCTCTGTCTATGATGTGCTCTGTCTATGATGTGCTAGATGTCTGTGGTGTGCTCTGTCTATGATGTGCTCTGTCTATGATGTGCTAGATGTCTGTGGTGTGCTCTGTCTATGATGTGCTCTGTCTATAATGTGCTAGATGTCTGGTGTGCTCTGTCTATGATGTGCTCTGTCTATGATGGGCTCTGTTTATTGTGTTGTCTTCTTTAAATGGATTAACACTTCATAATGAGCTAGGTTATAATATTGTATTAAAAAAATATCAGCTCTTTACAATGAAGAATTGAAAATGATACTATATCCCCTGATAGAGGGCA